AGAGAGAGAGAGCGCTGGGATCTCACCAGTCCAAGGCACTTGGGTTGTTCGCTGACAGGTTAAAATTCTTAGCACAATCCTTGAAGGGAGACAATCTGTTTCTTTCAGCGTCTTGAGAACAACAGCAGGTGGTGTGAGAGAGTTCTCCTCTTGAAGCGCACACACACATTGCTGCTTTTTTTACAGATTTTCATACCCTCGGTTCAGCTTCTTCCAAACATTTTCAATACTGTAAATCATTGTCTTTTCTCTTGACAAGGGGTTATCTGGTTTGGAACATCTCAAAAAAAAACCTGATTGATAATCAGGAAAACATAAGGTAACCAGACACTTACGAGCCAGCTTGAAATTCCTGTGGATAGCAGATATACTGATGGGATATGTCATGGTTTCTTTAGAAACAATTGATAGCTTGCAGCATCAGGGGTTTAGATTTTTATTTGTTGTGAACAAGGCTCAGCTTAGCATGACTTTTCCAGATTTTACTTTAGTCTTTTAACAGACTTAAGTCAATTATTGGAGTGTTCATAACTTTTGTGGGGGGGGGAAGGACATCCACCAGTCGTCCCGGGAAAAGTATGACATCACTTGTGGTCAGGGCTTCAACGGTCTGGAGGCTGTGATGAACCCTTTACCATTGTTCAAATGTTGCCTGTTCCCCCTCTGACTCGGTCTCTTTGCCTCAGCATTCCCTAACCTGGCAACCAAGTTTTAGTCAATCAAGTTTAAATAGGCCTCCCATAGTGGCACCGGGGAATGTACGGCCCAAGATGCCTATTAAACTTTACTTCTGCTTAGAGGTGTGTGTGGGCGAGGTGGGGGATGTCCTTTGTAAATCCAGATTAGGACCTGTCTGATAAATGCTGAGCTGGGTGTGTGTAAATGTGTATTGATTAGCATTTGGAGCACAGATTCCCCATCATGCAGTGTTCCCCTGCTTCTCTGATCCCAGAATTCGCTGCGGTCTCTGCTTCGGGCATTCTGTTCTCCATCTCCCATGTGAATGAGTTGTCATCTGGTTCCATCTTGGATGCAAATGAGACCTAGGGCAGTTGTTTCACTCTTGTCACCCTTATCTGGAGGGTTTTAGGTGTGTCTCCCACTGCATCTTAATCAGTTTTTGTTTAGGTAGAAGAGGGGAGGGGGTGGGGAATTTTTTGTGAGTCAGGAAGGCTGCGTCCTGTATCAGGGTTCCCCAAGAACATGAAGCTGAGAGGTAACAAAGACGGGGCCTCAATTCTGATTGCAGCCTTTGTGTGCTGCAGTAATATAAATATTTATTGATGTTTATAATAATAATACTAAGGCTTATATTCATTTTTAATAAATATGAATAGTTTTTAATACACAGTGATTATTGTTTACTAGTGAACTGCCTGTCAAGAATGATGGGGGGTGGGTGGGGACAGAGTGCCACATGTCACCACCCTGCGACGCCACTGCCTCCCACAAGCAGGGGCAGGGAGAGGAAGGTTACACATGGAGGCTGCTGCTGCCAGCTACTGGCCTGCGCTGCTCCTGGTCCACATCTGGCTTCACGCCACCCCAACTTCCCCCAGTTCATGTCTGGCCCCATACCACCCCAGCATGACCTAACCCTAACCCCAACCCCTACTCTCTCTCTCCTGTCATCTAGCAAATTGCCAGTAAAGAATAATGGAGGGCAGGGGGAAGGAATGAAGTGCCACCACCCACCACCCTGCACCTCCACTGCCACCTCACAGGAGTGGGGGGGAGCTTGCACCACCATCCCCTCTGTCCCCCTCTGCCAGCACCCTGTGCCACTGCTGGGCCTTGCTTCTCCCCCAGCCCTGGTTCTTGGAGGCAGCAGCGGTGCAGAGTGGTGGCAGTCCAGAGTTGGCCTCTCCCTCCTGCTCCATCCCCTCCACCCCACCATCATGGCAGTGCTCTGTCCTCACTGCCATTCTTGATGGGCAATTCGCTAGATGATGGAGGAGATGGGGGAGCAGGGGTGAGACCAGCACCGTGCCACCACCACCCTGTGCCACCGCTGCCTCCAAGGAGCAGGGCTAGGCAGGGGTCTTACCCCTCTGCTCTATCCCATCCATGCCCGCATCATGGCAGGGCTCCACTGTGTGTTTCTGTCTGTGCAGAGCACTCTGATTGGTTGTTTCTGTAAGTATTATGATTGGCTGCTGAGACAACCAGTCAAAGTGCTCCAAGAGTGTTATGGACAGACAGACAGACAGATGCACAGACGGATGGACTAAGCCCTTTATATATAGAGAATTATGGAACTCGAGTGCCTAGAAGCTCTACTCATGGAATGGGACCACACTGTGATGGTGATGTACAAACACAGAATAAAAAGTTGGCTCCTGCTCAAAAGACTTAACAGACTTTGTTGTCCTTGAATTGTGAGAGTTGGTTTTAAACATGCATGAAGATCATTGCTTTAAAATGTTGGGATAAAAAGCAAGGTCAGCATATATATGTTATAACGTTTATATATTATATGCTGATTTTGTTTACTACACACGCAGACACACACATACACATATGTGTGTGTATGCATGTATGTATATGTTTTCATAATCACATATATTATAATGTATTTCATGTGTACAAATGAAGCTTTTACTATTTACATAAAAATCATATAAAACTCATGTTTGTTCTGCTAGTTGATGAACTGATACTTTCAGAATTCATCATGTCAGGAGCATTCCCATCCCTGAAAGTGTTGCTCAAATTGTTTTATCTGGTGCTGTTTATGTTAGTTTGTACTATTGCTTTATTATGCCTATACAATAAGGAGCCAAGATACAATGCAATTGAGAACTGAGGTATAACAAATCCATTTTTTTCAGTGTTTGGTGAACACCATTAAAATAAGTAGCAATTTTTATTTGACAGACAATGGGCACATCTCCATGAGATGCCACATGCGCATAGGACTAATTTTACTGTACATTAGCATGGCTGGCAAAAACTGCTAATACATTATGCGCACTAGATTTAGTCCAATGCATATGAAGTGTCACACAGAAAGCGTTCATCTGCACTGATGTACTGTAGTGCTGATTATAGTGCATTAAATACCCATTAATTACATGTACTAAACTTAATGCACCATAATTATGTTGCATTAATGAACATGTAGATGTGCCCAGTGAGTATGAATCCCAGAAGAGGCCATTCACCAGATCTTTTAAGATAATGTTACTATATTTAAGCTTTGAATCTGTGCAATGCTGTGAGCTTACTATTAATAGGTATCATAGGGCGTACCTGTAATCTTCATCTTTTAGCAGCATGTATACATATCAGGAGAATGCAAAGAATGTAAAGAATATGGGAGATCAGAGTCCACTAGGATGGTATAGGGCACATCTGCAATTCCTGTTATTTCCTCTGCCTTATATTATAAAACTCCAGGATATGGAACCTCAAAAGTGGCTGACTTATAAACTGTTAACTACTGATGTGCTAATATTCTCTTGAAGTACAGGGAGGAGAAAAGAGAGAGGGAAAGAACAAGAGAGAGAAGCACATGAGATGGCATTAACATAGATGCATGCTGCCAGAAGCCCAGGAGACAGAGGCTTAGTGAGGAGCTGTAACTAATGTCTGGGAGCTCTCCCCTATCCTCTCCACCTTCACTGTCCTAGAGCACTGCCCTTCCAGAACTAGGAGAACGGAGGAATGTCTCTCCTTGCCACTAAAACCAGGAGACTCCATGCCCTTCTCACCCCACCAAGAACTGGGAGATACATGGGGATCAGTAGCTGGGATGGTATGCTCCAGGAGAGTGGCAGTGAACAGATAACAGTAACTGATACAGTACCCCACTCTTCCCTGCCTGCAACCTCTGGGGAGGGGCTGTGAAGGGGAACAGAGCACTGTGGTTTGCTGGAAGAGCCAGGGGGTCCCCTTTCGCACTTCATAAAGTATACATATATAAAAGAAAGTGCACTTGCACCATTTTTGGTGTTTCAGAGGGCATGTACATCTGTCTGGCTCACCTTTTGAAGCACTTCAAACTACGTATGTGATTAAGTACCTTTCTGAATCAAGGTGACAGCTCATGTTAAATATAGATTCAAGATGATAGGAAAGGACAGGAATAAAAACTGTCATTGTGGATGTATGTGCCTCTGTCTTTCCACTTAAATGCACACCCATGTTCAAATGCAGATGCACATGATGGAAATATAAAGGAGATGAGAGAGAATTTTTCTTATGTGACATTATAAAGAATGATATATCACACCTCTTTGCTTCTGATGCTTGTTGGTTTCTTAGGGCACTTTTACATGTGATGGGGGTTTTAGTCCTCAGGGTTTCAGTCTATACCCCTAAATTGAAATGGTGGGTTTTAATTTTTTCCATCATTGTGTACATATGATCACTCAAAAATCTCATAAAATGTTCAGTGCGCTATTTGCAGGAAATTACTGCAGGAGGCACTGCATAACAATCCGCTCCGTTGATGTCTTTGTACTAAATTACAGCAAGGAGCGCCTATAGCTCACAGCATGCTGATATGAACAGGTGACTGAAAGTGGTGCTGTTTCATAAGTTTGATAATTTAATTAAGTTTCTGTTCATTACTTTAATTCATGGAATCATTTTACACATATTTTGACATATTTTTTTTAAATTACCGATATTTTAAAATTGTTTTTATTAACTTTTTTTTTTATTCTCAGCTTATTTTTCATTTTACTATTTCTATGTAAGCAAGTAAAATGTATTTTGTGTGTAAATCTGCTTGGGGTTTTTTTATTTCACTGAAACAGCCACCCCTTCAAACAGGGCGCTGACATTCTCCCCTCGCTTATATGTGCACAAAGATCTAGTGCCCCGTGAATTTCTTATATCTTCCCACACATATTGGAGTGTTGTGGCACGCTCCCTGCATTAACTTAGGGGGAGTCCCAATTCCTGGGCATGGGACCAAGGGTCTGAGTTGAGACAGGCCCCATATGCAGCGGCCACACGGCAGCACTGGGCTGTGCTCAGGATGGCCAGGGAGAGGGTACAGGATATCCCATGCTGCAGGAAGGCAGCAACTGGGTGGGTGGTCTACAGGAAACAAATGCCCAGTCCATTAACACAAGGCGGGAGGGTCCTCTGGCGGGGAGGGAAGCCATCATGGAAAGGAGCAGCAGAACTTGCATAGTCGCAGAGCCGAGGTCTCGCGCACAGAGCAAAAATCCCCAGACTTTTCTTGCCAACAACCAGGAGATACATAATTTGGATTATAAAATTAAAGAAAGGAGTGCTTTAAATTTTGTACTGTGCTGAAAATTCTTTTACCCTGGGTTTATAAACCATTAATTTGTATTTTTTATTTTACTATTTTTTTAAATTTTAAATCAATAGGTAATCTAGGACTAGCATTAGTTTTGCAGGTCCTGGCATTTGCTCTGTACATAAGCTTCCAAGTTTTCTGTCTTTTTTTAAAATTTATTTTAGATTTTGCAATGTTTTTTCTCAATATTTAATAGTTTTTCCATGTTTAGATTATTTTTTCTTTGCTCCTCCACCACTCTGCACCTCTAAGACATCCCTTTATGCCTGGCTGCAGTGTAATTGTCCCCTAATGCCGTTAATTTGCTCACCACTTTTATATGAATCCAACAAGCGGAGTTCTGTGAACCTGATCACGAGCCTAAAGGAGCGGGGCCATGCACAGAGGGCCATGACCATGACCATGACCTTACTATGATCCCACTCCAGAAGCAAGCAGCCAGCCGTGGCCAGCCAGTGGAAGCCACTGTAATCAGGGCTGCTGCATTGCTCCCATAACATTTCCTCTGAGTGCATGCAGCTTTCCACTGTTCCCTGGGCAGCCCACCCAAGGGGGGAATTGGGGAGGGGGGTGGTTTCAAGGCCTGGGCTTTTATTATTGTGACCAGAGAAAGACACAGCGGGAAAGCCAAGGCCAGTTGGTGGTGGGATGGCCCAGAATTTTGCTAAGGCTGGGAGCACTAATTGGGGGGGATGCTCTGAGCACATCAGCCTGGTCTTCTGACCCCATCAAGCTTACCAAAAGAAGTCTAATTGCCAATACAAGCCAGCAAGCAACTTCCCCCACAACCTTCCATTAGCTAGTTTAAACAGAGCGTGACACAAAGAATCGAACAAAGCAAATAGAAACCTTTATTTACAAACACAAAACTAAAAGAGTAAACAAACCATAGAATACCTCTTTTAAGATAGCAATTTATAATTACTCTGAATCACTATGGATAACTATAAGGGTGCATGATTCGTGAAAAAACACAATTACTATAATAGTGCAATTACTATCGCTGTGCCTGAATCATGAAAAACAAACAAACTAAAATCAATGATCAGTTCTAACTAAAAAACTTGGTTCTAAGGTGGACTTTCATTCAGAGCATGACTGAGAACTTGGGGATGGCAGAGCATGCATCTGTGCTGGCTGTTGCTGCTCCCTGGCAGGGGCAGGTGCAGGACCAGGGCTGACAACCATCAGGCATAGAATTGTTACCAGTATGCCCACATATTTGCTGGTCCTGCCAAGTCTCTGAATGCCTCCTTGACTCTGCATGGTTCCTTTCATGCTGGATGGCCATGAATCTTCCCGCAGCATGACAGACCTGTCTGACCAGCTCACGCAGCCACTGCTCGCAGTCCCTGAGGGTGTTCACCAGCCTGTTGGTTCGTGCATCAGCTGCAGCCTGCCTTGGCTGCCTCCGTGTCCTTGGTGGCATCTTTGGAATTGGAACTGAAAATCAGTGTGGGAAATAGAGTAAATTAAGGATATTTGCCACTCTAAAAAGTTTCACTCTGTGAATCTTGCAAATGTTGAAGAAGAGGTCAGCCAAAAATAACCAAGAAGGGGTGCCTGGCTGAGGCGGATAGCAGGCCCTGAGTCTGTAAACAAGTGTGATCCCACTGCAAACAAGCTGCTGCAAACAAGTCCCTCTCCCTCTCTTCACCTCACAGCCCAGCCTAATTGCAGCTGTCAGTTCAGGTGATAGCTGACTATAAGGTTCCCCAAGGCTTCACATAACGGGTGTGGAAGTTGAGGTCCTTGATCTATTTCCCTTGCTGTCTTCTCCACTGGAGTGCCTGGAGTTCCCGCAAGTCACAGCCATGGTTGGTGAAATGTCTACAAGTGAGGACGCCCTGGAGGTTCTCTGTCCCTTGGTGTTCACACTGATCTAGTACCTCCATTAGCAGCTGGTGGGCCATGTCACACAGTGGGGCACCCTGCCGCTGTGCTCGGTCAACATCCCTGTGGAATTGTGCCCACAGCATCTTCATCTTGACACAGCACTGTTTTTGCATCCTGTTGTTTCCTCACTGTGACATTCTCCATGCAACATCAAGGCAGATATGCCTGTTGGCATGCGGGCTGCAGACAAACTGGTGCATGACCTCAGGGTCCCCCAGCACCCACACCAGGCTCTTTGTTTCAGCAAAGGTCCAATTTGACCTAGACCTACATGCCCCAGTCTGCTCTGTTCTCCAACATCAGACATCTCAGATCAATCAGGAGCACCTCAGGGAGCTAAAGTCAATTTATAGGTCTTGAGGTGACTTGGCCAAGGGAAATTCACACCCTCTCCAACCCTATTCTGTCTGGGCAAAATTTGGGCAGCAGACATTTTCTGCAACTATTGCAACTTTGGCACCATTCAGTGGGGTTCATGTGGGACAATTTGGCAACTGACAGGGTCAAGCCAGGGACAAATTCCATTTGTCAGGTTCACATAAAACCAGCGAGTGAATTAATGGTGTTAGGGAGACATTCACACCACAGCTTTTTGGTGCTAGTCAGAGGGGTTCACCTGGGACATTTTGGAGCACAGAAAGGTCAGTCAAGCCAGGAAGGGGGACTCTGGCTGCACCTATGGCAACTCTGTACATCATATGTGCATGCTTGTTCTAGATATGTTTTAGCCCGGCTAGGTCCTTTGGCAAAGTAGCAGCCAGCCCAGTGAATGATGTGTCAAGACCACTCCCAGTGGGACATGATCTGAAATGCTGAGAACTTGCAAAATAGTTGATGAGGAAATGATTGGTGACAGAACTCACCCACTATTCATAAAGCGGAAGCGCTATAAGCTCATGATCGGGTTCACAGCACTCTGCTTGTCAGGTTCACATAAAAGCGGCAAGCAAATTAATGGTGTTAGGGAGACAATCACACCACAGCCAGCCAAAAAGGGTTGTTTTAGAGGTGTAGGGTAGGGGATCACAGAGGTCCCACATCTAGCAGGACTTGTTTCATGTAACCATCCCTCCTCTAAAACTTGGCATTTGGGGTTTTTTGGGGAATGCCCCTAAAATCTGTAAAGTGCACCGCAGAAAAAAAACAGGCACTGAGCAGAGGACTAAATGGATGAGCCCTGAACCCCAAGGGTGGCCAGTCACCCCTTCTGGCTAAAAGCATCCCCCACACCAAAATTACACCAGTGCTCAAGGGAGACCCCCCCCACAACAGCAGCCACTACCCACAAAACTGATACCCCACAGATAACTAAAGTACTGCTAAGCATAGCTTGATTGAAAAAATAGAAACCTACTAAAATGAAATTTTAATTCAAATATAAATTTTAAAACAGCCAAACAGAGAACACGGAAACACTGCTGAATGACCACTCCCCTATCCCACAACTACAAAGCAGTAAACAAGTAACTAATAAAAGGGAAGTTCTAAAATGCCCCCTTCAAACACTCCAGGGACAGCAGGGGAATTTTTGGGGACCCACTAACCTCCCATTAGATGTTAAATGCTCAGAGCAGAAGCCTTTAACAGCATGCTTCACTGTGCAGTACTTCTAGAATAGCTCTGAGGGGGTCAGGGTACACCATGCACTGCATTATCCCTGATAGTGGAGAAGGGAGCACATACATAGTAGACACTGATTGATCTCCAAAACATCCTGGGATCACCCTGATCTTCAGCCCCTCAACACACTCTAGGACACTCACAACACTAACTGAAATAGGAGATGACAAACAAAAAATGGTTTCTTTGGATTATGTATTTAATGAAGTAAGAAAAGGAAGTCAGGCAAAAATTGATTCATGCTGGGTTCTTTGCTGCATCTGGTATCTTAAAACATTCATTACACACAAATGCCTGCAAATTCTAGCAACACTTGGTGGACAAGGGGGATCACTGCATGTCATTCAGTGAATTAAATTACCATGTACACGTGGCTGCAATGTCGCAAGTTGCAATGTTGCCAGCTAAACTACATTGGGATGTGGTTTAGTTTGTGACAATGAGAATTAATTTAAAAGCCCCAGAACTCACCTGTGGGTAAAGTGTGATGCTATTAAGCCACACAAAGGGGAATTTTTGTCACATGTAAATCATCTCTGTGCCACACATACAAGTGTCCATAGAATTTATATACATTACATACATATATATCTATAGTTCTGGGTTGTTTTCAGTAGATTTGGATTTTTTTTAAATGTCATTTATGTCAGTGTTGTTTATTTATGTCAGTGTTTATTTATGTCAGTGTTGTTACTTAAGTAATATCAAATTATATTTTTGGAATAGGACCAAGAAAAAAGATATAAATATAGCAAAACTTATATAGGTCTCAGTATTTGACTAATTGTCTATTTGAATTGCTTCAGTGAAAAATTAAAATTTTGTTTAACCTTTGTCCCTAGTCATTCCCAAAAGTATTCCTCTTGATGAAGATACACATTATCAGTTAGTGTGTATCCATCATTTCTAATCAGCAGAAACTAAATGAATTTGTTTCTCAAGGGGTTTACAATGTGCTTTATTATTTTGTCAAAATATTACATAAGATTAACTAAGTAATTCTGGTATTATTTAACTTTATGATCTTCATCTGTGGTCTGCAAAATCTATTCAGAAGATCTGTTTCTATTTAGTATAATGTTCCATACTTAGGTCAGAATTAGATACTATAATGTCCATGCCTGTGACAGTTAATAATTATTTTTTTAATGTATAGATAGATCTTCTATATTACATTTGAATAAAAGGTTTAAGATGGTAATTTATTACTAATAAAAGCAAGCTTACTCTGTAATAGGCTCACATATAATATTAGATATTATAATTAGACTGTGTGTTCCAGATGGTGAGATACCATCTTTTTCATATTATGAAAATATTATTTATAACCATCTTTATTTCATGTGGCCCAATTGCTCTTGTTCTCCAGAAATACTTGCAAGATACTTTGTAGCCTGTGACTGAGGAACTTTCCATAATTTCCCCCTAAAATTTAGTGTTAAAAGGTTAGGGTCCTACCAGCCTCTGAGTTCCTCCTGTGTAAGGTGCAGTTAGTCTGGCCCCCAAAACTCGCATCTTCCAGTATTATCTTGTCAGAGCTCAGACCATTCCTTGGATTCACATCTCAGAAACTGAGCAAAGTGCTTGTTTATGAGTAGTCTTGCGAACCTCACTGGGGATACTCACATACTTGAAGTGGTACACCTAAACGAATACCTTGCATATCCTTACGCACACCTTGCACATCATGGCTAGAGGCAGAC